TTTATGGAAACTGCCTCCCTAAATAAAATTTACTATGTGGTATCTTCAGAAAAAGAGCGGTACGGCCTCTAGCGGTCCAGAGGAGTATATGGAAAACTACGTGCAGTGCTCATGTACCGGTCCCCTTCCCCTTTAATTCCCTTTTATCGCTCGCTTGAAATTACACAGATACAATTACAACCCGGCGATCTCCTAAACCTATTCGTCCTTAATCCTAGAAACACCGCCTTTATTTCCTTATTAGAACGCCAAATTCTAGGTTGCCAGGTCTGTTCTTCTTTCGCGGTTAAAAAATATGTAGATTATTTAAACTCTTCAAGAACTTCAAAATGCAGAGAAAGGTTCCCTCCAGATCTTACTTGATGAATATGTAGTTCAGATTAAACACCCCCAGATGTCACACGATAACAAATACAGATATTTCCCTAAAGATCGAAATTTTCTGCCCGTGGCATGCTTAGAGTTGCGGCGGCTTCTTATAATAGTCAAATAGGCCTAAATATAGTATCGCTCTGAGAAGTGTAAGGTAAAGCTATCCTTGTAACAAGCCGTGGAAGTCGATAGTATTGTGAGACGTCGAGGTTCCCACATTTTCTAGACCAGACATGTCCAACGAGTCGATCGCGGGACAATTTTTGGTCGATCTCATAGGCCTATAAGGAAATTATACGTGAAAAGCATGTAAATTCACTTGTAATATAATACGATTATATTCAGATTTTGGAGGGAAAATACGTGTTAAAGTAGTCTACTTTCAATGTACGAGTATATTGCTTTTAGAACAAACATCATGTGTCGTGATATTTTTACCAATATTTTTGCTTAGAGCGAGGTACGACGATAGGAGGGGGTGGTAGATCACTGGCAATTTTGACACTATAAGGTCGATCACAACCTGTTTGAAACTGGACATGACTATTCTAGACAATCGAATCAGAGATGGCGATAAGGTTGTCAGCCTCACGAGCCGGCCGCCCTTTACCCCCAGGAAGATTTCTGGTACTCATTTCTGTTAGAGGCTGAGTTGGCCCCAGGGCCATAGTGCGGCTGGAAGAATTAGATCGAATTGAACCCGCGACCTTCGGGCTTGTAGAATAGTACCTGAATCAACTATGTTACCATGTGCCCCTTCTGATTAATATGTAAGGCTTAAAAAAACAAAGTGTCCAAAAATAATACGTCCACACGGCAACGCCCACTGTTACGGAAGTATGTACATTGCATATTAATGTTCTGTATTTGGTTCCAGGCGAGGTTTCAGCAGAAACAAATGCAGGAGAAGGAACAGAAACTACTTCGACTGTACGAAAACCAGACTCAGAGGGCGTTTCAACGCGTGGGCCGCAGCAGCGCGGGCAGTTCCTCCTCTTCAGTTTCGTCGACTTCGTCGTCATTGGGCGCAGGTAAAGTGCGCCAGCTGTTCCAGGAGAGGAGAAATCAAAACGGAACTAAGGCAGGATGGTCAGGACCAACAGGTTGGGACCGCAGTTATCCACTTGAACCACTCGAAAGCACGACAACCACAACAACTAAGCAACGTCTTCAAGCCTCCAAAAGTACCGGTAACCTTAAAGGTGGTAGAGGAACAAGTCTGGAGAGGAACTATTCCAACAGCATCGCTACAAGCAACCAGCAGCAGGCAAAGAACCAGATCCGTCGGTCTAAAAGTCAAGTACGTACTAACAATTACGTCGTACCTGACCTAGGAGGAAACTTCAGACAGCTAAGTTTGTCTCAGCAGAAAATCTACGGCTACGAAGATTATGAAGACATTGTAGATTATCCGCGGAATCACAAACCCAGGATCTATCAAGACGAGCAGAACAACAGAATTCGTTTAGAAAGGGAACACAGGGAAGCAGAGATCTTCCATAAACATCAAATTTACGATAAATACGAAGACGAGGGCTATGTTATTGATCATGAGGAGCCCCCATTTCAACAGCTGGACGATGATGTAGATGACTTCAATGATTCGTCACATGTGTTTCAGAAACTTCCTAATGTTGGTGGCCGACTCGTGATGGAATCCAAAATGAATAATAACAATAATAACGGGGATAGGTATAAGACTTATAACGCAACGCAAAACGGAATACGTGATGCTAGGAGGAACATGAGCGATAGAGAGGAGAATGGTAGGAGAATGACGCCTCCTGCGGCGAAGGAACTGACGCAACGTCGCCGTGACCCACAGGACGCTGTTCCTGTAGCCAAACCCCGGGCTACTATGGCGACCAAGAAGCCGCATGTGAGTACAGATATTTGTGTTTTGATATTTGCGCATTAAACAAGTTATAAATCACTTTCGTATAGTAACGAGTTATTGGATGTGACGTCGTGTAGTCCCGTATAAAATCAGTGGCGTTTCGGAGAAATTTCATGCTTCTATCTTTAAAATTGAAGCGTAAGCCAAGCAAACACATGTCTGCGTCATACGACCGGTAAATTTATACTGTACCACACGGCGTTACATTAAAAATAATGGTTTTCTTCGCATAGTCACCGTGGTGAGAACCTCAGACCAAACAAAACTGCTGAAATGCTGCCTTGACGCCCAATGTTAAGTAACTTAATTAACAGGTGTACAAGTTCCGTTAGTACAGCACGGTATGTAATTAATCAATTGTCTATAACCTAAAAGGAAGTAAAGCTGTCCTTGCTCTTGATTAATTAAGCACAACGCAATAAATGCGTGTTGGGGGGGGGGAGGTATCGCTACACCATTCTTGATCTCAGCACTAGATGGAGGTGAGTGGTCAGCTTCAGGCCCCAGCCGCTTTACCCCCGGGAAACAGCTCCCGATACCCATTGTATAAGAGTCCAGGTGGGCCCCAGACCCGATCTGGGCTTAATGGAGAAAAGANTGGTGTTGAGGAGAATATTTGGACCGAAGAGAGATGACGTGACAGGAGGTTGGAGAAAACTGCATAATGAGGAGCTTCATAACTTGTACTCTTCTCCAAGTATAATTAGAATCATCAAGTCAAGGAGGATGAGGTGGGCAGGTCATGCAGCACGAAAGGGGGAGACGAGGAATGCGTATAGGATATCGGTGGGAAAGCCAGAAGGAAAGAGACCACAGGGAAGACCAAGGCGTAGGTGGGTGGACAATATTAGAATGGATCTTAGAGAGATAGGATGGGCTGGTATGGATTGGATAGATCTGGCTCAGGATAGGGACCAGTGGAGGGCTCTTGTGAACACGGAAATGAACCTTCGGGTTCCATAAAATGCTGGGAAATTCTTGAGTAGCTGCAGAATTGGCGGCTCCTCCAGAAGGGCTCAGCTCCATGAGTAAGTAAGTAAGTAAGTAAGTAGATTTATATTGTAACCACTGACAAGTGTGAAGTAAGAAGACAAATGTAGAATTAACATGATGATGGCAAGCTAAGTCGAAATATACAACAAAATGAACGGATGTACATACTTGATTATATACCATGTCATGTTATGTGGGGCACGTTGTAGCATAGTTGGTTGAGGCACTATGATACAAGCCGGAAGATCGCGGGTTCGAGTCCCGATGAGGAGGATTTTTTTTTCAATTGACCTAATCCTTCCAGCGCACTATGGCTTTGGTGGCCGACTCAGCCTCTAACAGAAATGAGTACCAGGAATATTCCTGGGGGTAAAAGGCGGCCGGCGCGTAAGGCTGACAACCTTACCGCCATTTGTAAGTTGACTGTCTAGAGAAAATGTGGGAGCATCGACGTCTCACAACCCTATGGACCTCCACGACCTGTTGCAGAGATAGCTTTAACTTTACCATGTCATGTTGGCGGAGCTTCCAAGCCCAGCAGAACTACTGATGTTGGAGGCATTTCAAGATGTTTAGTTTTGATTAAACGGGTATTATCTGCAATCAAATGTACAGACAAATCACATATTTTAATAATTACTGATTTTTGACATTATCCATTGCCATGTTCTTTTATTATTATTTAGAAAGACGTTTCTGAGACTGAACTCTTGCCTTCATCCTCAGGTAAGAAGCCTAATCAATTGGGCCCTATCTTCGGAGTTATTTTAATTTATTTCGACGTGACTAACACTATACCGTGAGACGACTATCGGAGCCAGCAAGTTCAACACGTGATTACATGTCTATCGTGCGCTGAAGTTGGGGTCCGTACGGGTTGCAGGCGAGACAGGACCGTCCAGAGTTGCGTCCCGGTGACATTTTGAGTGGCGGGACCTGCCCTGAAACTTATTTTAAAATGTGCCATTATCAGACATAGTCAACGGTTAATGAAAATTTATGTTACTGGTTCATTTAAAAAGGGCAATTTAGCTTCAATAATAAACTATAATCTTCACAAAGAGATAAACTTTTTAGAAGTATTTTATTACAGGTTATAAGTATAAAATGAAAATATAAGAAATTATAATTAACTAACTCCACTGAGCTAAGCCCTTTTTGAGAAGCCGCCAATCACTGAAACACTCAAGTATTTCCCATCATTCCACTGAACCCGAAGATTCATTACCATGTTCACAGGAGCCATCCACTGGTCCCTATTCTCAGCCAGATCAATCCAGTTCATACTACCCCAATCTATCTCTCTAAGAACCATTTTAAGATTCTCCTCCCACCTATGATTAGGTTTTTCTAATAGTTTATTTCCTTCTGGCTTTCCCACCAAAATCATATATACATTACTTTTCTCCCTCATGCTTGCTACATTCTTTGCCCATCTCATCCTCCTTGACTGGATCATTCCAATTATGCTTGGAGAAGACTACAAGCTGTGAAGCTCTTCATTATGCAGTTTTCTTCCACCTCCTGTCACTTCACGCCTCTTCGGTCCAAAATATTCTCCTCAGTACCCTGTTCTGAAACACTCTCAGTCCATGTTCCTCCCTTAACGTCAGAGACCAAGTTTCACACCCATACAGAACAACAGGCAAAATTATAGTTTTGTATATTTTAATTCTGATATTTCTAGACAGCAAACGAGAAGACAAAAGCTTTGGGACTGAATTGTGCAAGCATTACCTGAGTTCAATCTCCTCTTAATTTCCTCCTGAATCAGGTTTTGATTTGTCATAGTCGTTCCCAAATATCTGAACTGTGCCACGTTTTGCAAAGGATCGTCTCAAGCAACAAGTTCTTATATAGAAGCATCAGCAACTGAAATTGTGCGCATTTCGCGAGCTGTTCGCTTCTCATTAGGTACGAGTACACGGAAAGAACCGACTTCGTATCACGACTCATGACCATTTGTTTCGGCTTGAAACTGCGCCCCAGACCGCTCTGGATCTTCTGTTTTTGACCCTGCCGGACCCCCTCTGCAACGTACCTGGTGGTCCCATCTTTTCCCAGTATATTGCAACGCTCTTCTCATGAGCCATAGTCTATTAATAGATGCGTCATGTCACCATTTACATTTCACACTTCATGTTAAATGAATTAACACAACAAACAAGTTAACTTCACAACATACGCCGTAACAAAGTCTGTTTCATATATTGAAGAAAATCTGCCAAATGTTAACGCTAAAATTGAGTACGCGGTAGTTGTTTGAGGTACTATGCTGCAAGCCAGAAGGTCGTTGCTTCGATTCCCGATGGGTCATTGGATTTTTATCAGTTGATCTAATCCTCTCAGCCGCACTATGGCCCTGGGGTCGACTCAGCTTCTTAGAGAAATGAGTACTGGGAATCTTCCTAGAGGTAATGGACGGCAGGCGCGTTAAAGCTGACAACCTCACCGTCATCTTTGGGCCGATTCTCTGGAAAATATAGGAGCCTCGATGTCTCACAACCCTATGGGCCTCAACGGCTTGTTAGAGGCATTTTTTAGCATTTTTATAGAAGCCAAAATTAAATATTTTTTTTAAAATGCATTTAGATCATTCAATAAAATTAGCCTTAAACTATTGAAACGTACCTTTGTAATAAATATTCCGGGTGCACCCCCCCCCCAGGATAGGTCTCTGTTAAACTTCAACATAACTGACGTTTGATTGTGACACATGAGGACCTAACTTAACTGATAATTTCCTTACCATCGAAGTGTCAGGTGAGACATGACGCTCCTGATTCATATACCGAGCATGTGATAATGTGCTGCCTGATTAGGCATATCGCACAACGCAGGGTGGCGTGACAAACATGTCTTTTTTTGGTTATTTTATGATTATATCAGCGTCAAATGGGCCGCCACTGTGGTCTAGTGGCCAGAGTTCCTGGCTACAAATCCAGAGATCCCGGGTTCGATTCACAGCGCTACCAAATGTTCTGAAAAGTAGTGGGTCTGGAACGGGGTCCGCTCAGCCTCGTGAGGATAATTGAGGATCTACTTGAATGGTAAATTAGCGGCTCCGGTTTAGAAAACCGAAAATCAACAGCCGTGGGGATTCGTTGCGCTGACCACGCGACACTATCTATCCTCTAAAGTTGGTACTAACTTCGCCGACAAGCGGCCTCCGTAGTCTAGAGGTAACGTTCCCACCTCATGACTCCTGGTACGCGGGTTCAAATACCCGGCAGAGGTCGTCGAATTTTTAAGGGCGGAAAAATTCAGGGAACAAGTCCTCCGGGAGGGATTTTAAGCTGTGTGTCCCGTGTCGTAACTTTACGGCACGTAAAAGAACCTCATATCCCCCAAGGGGATCACTGAGCCAAATTCCAGGACGTTTCCCGCCCAACAATAGCCTCTAAGGCCTCTGATAGATGGGGGAAGCATTATGGACACTGCTAAGCAAGTGGCCGAACTCGCTTGCTCGGCGGGACTGATGGTACGCACCATTTACCGGTAGGNGTAGCGGCTCCGGTTTAGAAAACCGAAATCAACGGCCGTGGGGATTCGTTGCGCTGACCACGCGACACCCTCTATCCGATAAAGTTGGTACTANTCGCCGACAAACGGCGGTCGCTCGGTCGGTATAGTTATATAGCTTGCAGACTACAGACCACGGAGTTAGTTTTTTATCAGCGTCAAATGACAGAATTATTAGTATAAAATTAACTGGAAAGTATTTGGAAGGAAGTGGCCGTGACCAAATCGGGGTACTATCCTGAAATTTCCTTCAGTGATTGAGGAAAACCACAAAAGCCCTCTGTTAAAATATCCGATGTCCTGATCGACATTATAACCTAGAATATATAGAATGTGGCTCAAGATCTTTACCGCTGCGCTAACCTGCATGGTAGATCGATATGTACGAGCGATTGTGGGAACTTTGATTAGCATAGGAACAATGAATTAGGGGAAACCGCTTTTCCAGTGCCACTTCGTCAACCAGG